AAGGAGGAGGATTGGCAATAGATGTTAGCTCAGAGCTGGTCTTCCTCAGCAAAAAAAGAGGAGGATTAGCATGGATGTTAGCTCAGGGCTGATCTCCCTCACAAAAAAAAAAAAAAAAAAGAATTGTGCCCTAGAGGATGAATTTTACTGTATATGCCTTATACCTAAAAAAAAAATCTATGAAACAAACGAAAACAATCTCAGAAAGCTCCTTGGTTCTGAGTCCTTCTAAACAGTGACCTGGAAGTCAGGTCTCACTGAGCTTGTAGGATTTAGCATCAGTAAGAAGCAGATCCTGTGGCCAAGAGGGTGTCTAACAGCTGAGGTAGCTTTGGAATGGGGGTAAGGGAGATAGTATTCGAAGAAAGAGTTATACATCTTTCCCCAAGCACTAGAGTCATTAATCTAGCAATGTTAGCCCTCAAAATAACCTAAGTTGATAATTTAATCACTCCAAAAAAATGTAAGGGAAAATGGAAGACAAAAATAAAGTTGTTTTCTGATTATAACCGTGAAAAAAATGGTAGGCATAAATAAAACCCTGTGTGTTTCCCAGTTTTTGCTTGACTGAAAATTATGACACATACTTACTATCGGCTGCAGCTTTTGATGTTTTTAACCCTATGTTTTCTTTTTTGCCTGGATTTCTTGTGTTTTATTGAATACTTTCTATAAAGCAGTGCAGTCCTAAGGTCTTTGTACGTAGACATTTATTTTTCATGAAAAGGCACTGTCCTAATCCTCATTTTCAGAGGAGAGGGATAGCTAAGGCAGAGAACTTAAATAAGTTGTCCACACTCACCCGACTAGATGGTCTGATGTCAAAGGCAGAACTCCTAACTTTGCGTTTTTTAATAATTGTTTTTAGACATGTTTCAATATATATTAACTATCTTTTGTGTGAAATAATTCCACAAGGTTTGAACCATGTGAATTTGGAATAGGTCAAGTTAAATAATTTGCTAGTTTTCATTTAAATAATTTTGTTACTTGAAATTTTTATTATCTTTATACAGATTCTGAAATGAGAGCAATTTACCTGAAATCTTTGCGCAGTCCATTGATGAGTGGTCGGTACAAAATAGTTCACAAGAAACGTAACAACATGAACATTTTCTCACAGGTATGAACTAGAGAAACAGAGTGGAGAGCTTCCTATGGTGGTGTTGAAATATGTTCCTGTTCATGAAGCCTCTATTCTGTTTCTAAAGCTGGACTGTCAGAGCTATTTGGGATAATTTCCGCCCTGAGTAAGGAAGGTGGACTCAATGAATTCTCAAAATCCCTTTTAGTCCTAATTTGATCAAATTATCCTTTCTTTAATTTGAGCTAATTAGATTATACTATTAAATTGTTTTCCAATTAGGAGAATGTTTAAAGGAAGTGAATAGAACTTCATCATCGACTATTTAAATTTTTAATTCCTATGTGTTGTCATATTTCTCTTTAAAATTTATTTTTTTCATAAAAATATTATATTCTAAAATTCTAAAAATTTAGATTATTTTTCATTTACAGAAAACATTTTCATATTAGTCTTATTTGGTTATAAATTGCAATGTTCAGCTTGATAGTATGTTCGTGTTTATTATATAGCACTTATCACATTGTTTGTGAACTATTGTTTGTTTTTCTGGCTACCCGCATTAGACCATAAATTTCTAGAGGGTAAAGCATTCTGTTTTTTATTCCCAAACTCCCCATTTTCTTACATAAAGAATATAAGCGGTATATGTTAGTTGAACAAGTGACTGAACTAATAAAGTAAGTGAAATATTCATAAAGACCTCATATACTTAGAATGTTAAATACATTCTGAATTTATGAAAGAAATTTATGATGTTCTTATTTGTATTTTTATTGTAGATTCCTGAGCAGGATGAAAACTATTTAGAAGACAGTTTTTGTGTTGATGAAGAGGAGTCTTGCAAAAGCCAATCAAGTGAGGAAGAAGTATGTGTTGATTCTGACACAATAGCTGAAGATTGCTTTGCAAATGGGAGTAAAAAATATAAAACCCGACGTGCAGTAAAGCTAAAACAAGTGAAGATGAGACAAAATCTTGCATGTTCAAAAAAGAAATTATCCAGGATTATTTTACCAGATGATTCAAGTGAGGAGGAAAGCACTGTAAATGATAAAGGAGGCTCTAATGTTGAGGTTAACCCAGGCACTGTTAACACGAGCAGACAGCAGGACCCTTGTGTGACTTTACTGCCTTCTGGGTCTTCACTGCCGTCCAAGGACCATTCTAATCCAGCTGTTGAGCAGTCGCCAGAGCAGAGACAACACACACGACTTCATTTAAAGGATACAGTTTCTGATGTCTTGGACTTCAAACCTCAGAGCCGTAATAGAACTGAATCTACCTCCCCATCATCCACTACTGTTGATTCACAGAAAGGCTGTAGACAATTTCCAGTTCAGTTGAAGGTATGGATCAAATTAGAGAAAAGAGTCTTCATACGTTTACCAAAAGGTTTTCTTTTTGCTTTCTTTTGTGTTGAATAACTAGGTCAAAGAAAAATTAGCAAGTGATGAAATTCTTCAGACAAGAAAACAGCACACTAAATTATATGGATAATTCAAAGGCTAAGTGGTCCAGTTTCCAGCTTCTCTCTATCTTGCTATTGCTGAAATAACCCCTAAAATAATTTTCAGTTTTTAAGAGTTTATAATTAGGTTTTAATTTTTAAATGTGTTAGTAGTTTTCTTAATAACACTCTGTAAGGAAACTTGCTAATTTTATAAAAAGGATGTAGGAAAATGGGCTTCCAGCAAGGTGAAATGAACAGAAATTACATGCTCAGAACCTCCCATTAACTTTTTGCTCCCCCACTGAAGGCTGTGGGTACGTCACTCTCGTCTCTCTACTGGGGAGAGGAGTTTAGGGGCACCACCTGATTTCTTTCCTTTAAATTTCTTTCCTTCCAGAAAGGCTACGTGGTCCAGTTTCCAGCTTCTCCTTATCTTGCTATTGCTCAAATAACCCCTAAAATCATTTTCAGTTTTTAAGAGCTTATAATTACAATAGTTTTGCTAAAATAGGGGTTAATTAAAGTCATAGTAATAGGAATCCGTTAATTGTGAACATTGATTCGTTTCCTTGACTGTCATCTTCGAGTGACACCTACACCTAGCCTTGTATTTCTCTTTTATTCTAAGTGTGTTGTCCATTCTGCCTCAGCATCATGCTCCAATGTCCACACAATGGCCCTCAGCATCATGCTCCAATGT